TGGGTGGGAGGGAGGCTGGGAATTCTTTCACCCCCCATAGCTCTGCTGAGCAGCAGCATGTGCTCCCAGCGGCTGCAAGCCTGGGGAACCCCAAGCCATGGAGCTCCTGCTCACACCCAGGGCCCTTTTCCCAGCAGAGAAGCCGCAGAGCCTGTTGCATGGGCAGAGCTCTCTCCTCAGTACACTTTTCCCTCCTGCCTTTTGTCCAGGAGGCTGTTTCCCACGATCCCTCCATGCATGTAAAACCTTCACTGCAGGACAAATGCAAAGTACCCGTGTCTGAGTGTGTCACACACGGTGCTGGTCGCAGTGATGTGTGGGAAGCGTCGCCCCGGGGATGCCCACGTGCTCCGGGCACTGCTGGGACACGGGTGCACCTGCAGCACATGGAGCAGCCTCCACCCACCAGAGACACTGGCAGAGCCATGGAAAAACCCCAGGTCTCTGCCTGGCACCATGCCCAGCACGGAACACATCCCAGGACACCGCACAGGCGGCGCTACCTCCAGTCCCACAGCCACCACAGCAGCTGCAGTACATCAACCTGGAGAACATCAAGCAGTTTGATTCCCATCACTTTTTGGTCCAATGCCCAATCCATGTCTCTCCCAAGAAGGAGGGTTTGCCTAGAGCCAGGAGGAAGTGCTGCTTTGGCAATGAGGGTGACTGCAGGAAAGCAGGGGGGAGACTGGGGTGGGTTGGGGCGCTGCAGCAGCCCAGGGGTGCCCTGGCTGAGCACAAGGGTGGCAGCCAAGCAGGACAGGAGGCTCTGAGCAACTGGAAATCCTTCCCCTCAGGTGGAAATAGATGCTGTGAGACTCAGGACAGTCAGCTGGGCTGTCCTGAGAGCTCTGGCCCAAGGTTTATGAGCTCAGGAGGTCCCAACAAGCACTGTGTGTGTCCGATGCCTTGGCACTGCTGTCAGAGGCTCTGCAAGCTCAGCTGGAACGTTTTCAGAGCAAGGTGGCAGCTCAAGTGATTTGCTCCTTGCATTTTTAACAGAAGGAGGGCTATGATGGCTTTGGGCAGCAAAACCCTGTGTATCTCACCTGCAGCACTGAGATGATGCACTTCACTGAGTGTCTGCTGATGTAACTATAGCACTTCATAAAGCAGTGTGAGTGAAACTGGAAACAGCAACAGCAGCAATCAGTACAACATCTGATTTTATATGTGTTTTCTATATAAAAGTGAGCCCTGCACCTCTCCCCAGTCACCCACAGCTGCCCCTTGGAGCATCTCATTTCTGAGCTGTGCCCAGCTGTGGTGGGATGCATTCAATGGCATTTCCCAGATGTTTCTTTTACTTTTGCAGCCTCCTCGCTCTTGCCTGCCCCTTACAGCTCTCTGCTGTGGCTGTTGGGGCATGAAAACCTCCCTGAGAGCCTGGGCTGCTCTCTCTGGGTCTTGATCTGGTCCTGCTCAGGCAGATGGAGCAAAGAGCAGACTCAGCTCTGGGTCTGCTGCAGGGATCTGCACTTCAGTGCTTTGTTTGAACCAAAGGGCTCTGGGCTTGGCTCAGCAGTGTCACATCTCCAAAGGGATTTCAAAGAATCACAGAATGGTTTGGGTTGGAAGGGACCTTCAAGACCATCCCATTCCAGCCCCCTGCCATGGGGTCCATGTGAGTCCACCAGCCAGGGACATGTGGGTCAGTGCACTGGGGGGACCTCAAGGAAAGGGAGATGTTGAGCAGAACATCAGGCCTGAACTGCCTACAAAGCTGCTGTGAGCAGATGCAAATTCCTCCTTGGGGTTTGCCTCCAAGCACATCTTCCCACAAACAGCAAAAGTTCTCTTTGCCCTGAGCCGTTTCTAGTGAGGAAACAACGCTTCGGGCTGACACAGTCCCACTTCAGGGGGCACAGGGGGGATGTGGGACCTGCTGGGCTGTGCAGCCCCCACATGCCCCCCATCCTGCCCAGTGCAGGTGGTGGGTGGATCTATGCACATTCAGGGGCTTTGGCTGCAGCTCCAGCCGTGTCTCCAGCCCCGTTCCCTGCTGCCAGGACAGGTGATGGATGCACCGGCGTGTCTGCTTTATCCCAAACCTGAGGGGAAGGGGCTGCAGGCAGCCAGAAGAAAACACTTCCTGGTGGAAAAAAAGAGTGATTTTTGGTTCTCCAAACCTCAGTCTTCCTACTAGCAGCTTATGCAATGCGTGGAAAGAAGCTGGACCTCCCCACCTGGCTTTGGGTGATCTCCCAGCCGCGGCTGTGCCGCTTCCCCCAGCGGTTTCACTCCAGGACCTGCCGTGGTTTCCCTCCCATGTGCTTCCCTCCGGAGCACGTGCCTGCTCCTCAATGCCAGAAGAGTTTTGCATCCCCTACGTCTTCCTTCTTGCTTTCTTGGAAACAGGTTTTTAACACCCCACTGCCTTCCTCAGCTGCACAGCGGAGCATGGGCTTGGTTTGTAGAACCAAAGAGCAAAAGGCTCTTGTGAAACAATCCTGCTGGAGAGTGGAAATACAGAGAGTGAGTAATAACTCTTCTAACCTTAAGCAAATTGTTAGCTCTGACTCAATATCCTTCATAATGAAGACTGCACTGGACTTTTAAAGTAAAAAAGCCTTACCTAACAAATACGACAGTGAAGGTGAATTCCCCGTGGTGTACAACTGGTTGCTGATACTGGAATCAGTGCTATTGTCATCAATTTTTTAAAAATACCTTTTTTATTTTAATTTAAGCTAGGAGGTGTGATTAAAAGTTTGGCTGTTTTTCTTTTTTTTTTTTTTTTTCACATTGTGACATTAATTTATGGCTGAGTTTCATTCAGTCCTGTGTTCAGAAGTGCAGTACAGGTAGTAGTGATGTGTTGTCTGTAACATGGCTCTATAGAGTAGTAACCAATTTGTAAGAAAAAGAACAGAATGGAAAGAAAAACAAACAAACAAACAAACAAACAAAAAAAAAACCCACAAAAAAGAAAATCTGAAAAAAAATATGTAAATGGAGTATTTTGTGGTATGTACAACACAAATTAATTTTGCACAAAGACATTTCTAGGAAAATGAAACTCTGATAATTCATACTATTTGTATGAACAAATAAAAGCTCTATTTTATGAAGCCATGGGCACGGCTGTGTTCATTCACAGGGGCCTCCCCACGGGGGTTTGGAAGTGCTGGACTTGCATGCCCATCCCAGCACTGTCCATGCAGCTGCCCAGAAGCCTGTGCTGAGTCCAGCAGGATGTGATTCCCTACATGATCCCCATCCAGCACAGGGCTGATCAGGAGCCAGAGGCTTCCCTGGGGGGTGAACATGTCCATGTTTTCTCAGTCAGGTTTTGTGGGGGCTGATCTGTGCTGTTGGACACGCCTTCATCCAACACCATTTGAGGGAAGGAGACCTGAGGGATTGCCCTCAGCCCTGGGCAAAAACTGGGTGGGCTTGGTGGTTGGTGGAACCCCCCTCCTGTG